TATATGTGAGGTTGTTGAGTTTGGAAGGTATCAGTTACCTCAGGCATACATGTGGATTATATTGTTGAGGTTCTGCCAAGCATTTCTAGCTCTAAATGAGATTTCAAATGCGGCGGAAGGGAGATAAATGAGTGCAGTTTCTTAAATTAACATAATATTTAATATCTGCTTGAATATATATTATGTTTATCTACTAATAACAAAATAAATGTCCTGATTAGCTCCATAACATGGTAAAGCGAGTAAATTACAGGGGTATGTTTTGAGGTAGGTAAAAACTTAAAGAGCATCAAAAACAAATCAATTCTCTTCATGGTGAAGTTACTAGTTTGCTCCAACTGTTAAGGTACTTTATTAGTAAAACAGTAACGTAAACTGCTAAGATAAAATTATTAAGTGTCATCGTACCCGATTTGCCTATTAAAGAAATAATTCATTAACTAGAAGAGAAATAATAAAACTACATGCCTAAAACGTTTAGGAACTAAATGTAGGTAATCAATAGGACTTGTTTGAATGTCATGTTATGTATTGCGTGGCTCGATCTCACGGTGGTGAGAGAAAGCAAAGAATAATTGACGGAAACAAAGACATTCAATTTCATAATTCAAATGAAAACGGAGTGTGTTCGTGCAAGCTATCTATTTATAAAATCAGTTACATTTATTTCGACCCGCACATCAATACAGCCAGGGTTCAGTACGAATTATTTCTGTAAAATGGTTTATCACTGCAACGCGCAAGCAGCCTTGTGCACGATCTTTTTCAGAATTTCAGCCGTGCCAGTCTTTCGGCGAAGTGACACGAGCACGAGCTCCGTGTGGCATGTACGAGTATACGCAACGGTTGCGTCATATGACCTAGCATTATCACCACAACATTCTTAAACCAAAAACTAGCATAATCATTTCCACAGTTGAAAATGCTAAGAATTATTACAATTCATTCTATTTGTAACAGACGCCTCTATTGGCTTCAAATCAAAGACGCGCGGACGCCAAAGGTGCTTCGCCGGGCAACGCGTCGTCTGCATCAGTTGCAGAGAAAACCTCGCGGGGCACAAGGTCCTTCTCATTCTTCTACTTTCCACATCGCAATGTACGCGTGTGTAAAGTCACTGCAACAGTTCAATCTATTGTACGATGTGCTGCTTATCTTACTTTCAATAATCAATTACAGCCCACGGCATTCGCCCCTCCGTGTTTACCATCAGGCATACCATGCTCGCTTCACATCGTCGGGTATTCAATGCGCACGTGTGCAGGACGGTTTTTTTTTTTTTTTTTTTTTGTAACTGCTGCTTCCGCAGTTCAACATGTTTTAATCATTATAATTAGATTAAACTGAACTAATTGCAATCGCCTGAAATGTGAACTAATTACATCGCAAGCTAGTGTATATGTGCAAAACATCCGTTTATTGTGGCAGCAACAATTTCATTCGTGCGTATTGCACAACGGTGCTGTGTTCATGTTTTGGGTTAAACAGTGACTGTGCAGACAAGCCTTTTGGTCAGAGTATTCCACTTCATACGTCACGTACACGGCTTTCGGACTTACGGAGCGGTTGCCATTCAGCCTCTGGTGGCACTGAGAAATTTACGTCTGGACCATTGCAAGTGGTCTAACTTCTGTATCAGCATGCACAGCGGCTCTTCCAGACACCACACGTTATTTTTATGTCTTTTCTTATAGCACTATATGTTCATTCCCACATGAATCCCTCACAACTATCTTTTTATTCACAGACTATTTATCATCATTCAATTTCATCATTTGCATTAGAAATAAATGAAGTATGCCTTCACACAGCATGATAGATTCATTATTTAACATTTATAACAATTTAATTATGTATAGATTATATATATATATATATATATATATATATATATATATATATATATATATATATGTATATATAATCATTGCCCCTATTCATTTCCAAGTGATGGTGACAACCTCCCCATTAATAATCTTTGCAACTACAAATAAGTTCCACGAACTTCCACGTTGTGGTGGTCCTTCGTCAGGTAAAAACTCAGAGTTTAGGAAGGACAACGGAGTATGGTATACAGCAGATCCCATCTGTCAATTCACAGTCCACTGCGCGAATCACCTCCGCCAGAGTGTTTTATTTTATCACAAATTGTTTTCGCGTAAAGTGCGTTGTAAATTATGCATTGGAGTGCCTCAAGGATGATATCGCGTGGACCGAAGACCAGAGCCTCGTCATTAAATGGATGCGCGTACTGAAGCGTCAAGTGGGAACAAGGCGTCAAGTTACAAGTGTTCGGCAAAAAAGGTACATGCTTCAGAATATAATCATGACCATCTTCATAAAATTCTAACAAGACGAACCTGCTATCCATTCTTCTACCGTTGAATGTATACACTCTCATTTAAACAAGTTTCACTTTAACCAACAGCATCGAAATAATAGAATCTCCTTGAAAATTCATTATCAATTGATGCTTCAAAGCAGATTGTAGTTTCCTCTTTCATATAAGTTTGAATTACGGGATGAGAAATAACAAACGACATACTAGAACCAAGTTGCAAATGCTTTGTTTTAAAGTTGAAAACACATAACGGATATACGTAAATATTACAATCTAAATCAAAAACGCGTAAATCATTTGAGCTATAATCATTTCGAAAATAAAATTAAATCAATAAAATTGGAACGTAGAGCAATAAATATTGCAAACACAGTTTCTTCTTATCTATATGAGTGCCGAATGAAATAAATAGTTTATTGGCGTATTCCCCAGAATCCCTTTGCTTCAATGTTGTCAAGACCTTCACTAATGGCACTAGCACGATTCGTGGCATCGTGGCACGCCACGACCGTCAGCGCAACTAATGTTGGGAACGGACAATACGTATGGTACTACCATACGGACGAAACCTTCAGCAGGGATTTTCAGGGATTTCAAATATTTTGATCCAGATTGAGATGGAGAATTCCTGTGTGGAAATATTGATACACATGCAAAATATTTAGTTTTTTAGGTTTCTCTGTAATGGATTCAGTATGTGATTCCCAAACCTAATCTTTGATGAGCAAATAACTGTTCTAAGGAATTTGAGGAACGAATTTGAAACTAGGTGCAGTGAAAATTGGTTTTCTATTTATGATACATCGCTGACAATAAAGCTGCATGATATTGAGCTGCACTACAAATGGAGATGATTAATTTTCGAGGAAATAATGGATTGTGAAACTTTTAAAATGATCACAGAAGGCTGTTAAACAGAATTTTACAAAGCGCTTGATAAATCAAAGTTTCTAAAGTTAATAAATAATTCTGCTCAAATAAAATCTACATATGGTAAAACATGTTTATGAACAAGCATTTTTCAATAATGAAATTGCTAAACAAACTGACACAGGGTTCGATTGAACATTTGAGAAATAGTTTACGAATTTGTGCCTCGGAATCTCTAGATCATGATTTTATCAACTTGATGGATCGCATATAAAGAGGATATGCACAGAAGAATAAAAGTAAATGTGTAAATAAAAGTACCAACGAACGTTTTTTAAACTAATTTTCCAAATCCCGCCTAACCGAAATTTATGTGAAATGCGTAAAAGCGCTCAGGTAACTTTTCGGCGGCATTTCGCCGCTACCGAGCCACAAACCCCCGCTGGCGGCAGCGACCTTCAACACTACTAGAACATGCATTTTCATTCTTGCCAGTTAACATAACTAGAACATTCATTGTTTCACATTCTTGCAAGTCAACATTACTAGAACATTCATTGTTTCACATTCTTGCAAGCCGACATTACTAGAACATTTATTGTTTCATATTCTTACAAGCCAACATTACTAGAACATTTATTGTTTCATATTCTTACAAGCCAACATTCATTTTTAAAACTGCATTAATGAAATCTTAATTGCAAAACAAACTCGTGTACAAGAAGAAGGATTGTAAACCAAATTACGAGGCAAGCCTAGTAGAATTTAATTCCCCTGTATTAGGAGACCAACTGGCCGTTACGGTTAAAAAAATGAAAAGCCAACCTTAATAATTGTGTCTTAAGCAGAGTGTATTATATGAATCGTAATTATCATACTTGTTTATGAACAGCACACGCAGACAGAAAGTTAATTTACATGTGAACATAACATCTTACACAAGTAAACTTGAAGCACAAAATAAGTAGTATTAATGGCGACGTACATCATCATGTGCCTTTTATATAATTATACTTAATTATATTTTTTTCCAGATCACTTGTGAAACGATACTTAGATAACAACTACTTCGAGAGCACCTATTATTCATTGTGTTGAATGTATAACATTCAATTCAATATTTGTTTCATGTCAGGTCGTTATCGTATATCACATCTGACGTGAAGGTGAAAGTTACTTATAGTACATTTCTATTTCATTACATTTTTACTTCAAGTGTCTATTATCAAAGTTGATGTCAAACCTTAACAAAATACAAATCATGAAAAATCAACATCTAAAGGAAATAGCAAATGCATTGTTAAAAGCAAACAACTTCACAAATATTTTAACCTCGAGCAATTAGCCCATCACATCACACACCTGCCTCAAAGATTCATATAAACCTTACGGAATACCATCACTATCCGAATTCACGCTTTACAGAAACCCACACCACTATACAAGAATTAAAAAGAAATATCCATTTCGTGTATTCCTTAAATTCTTCTCCAAAATGAAATACACAGAGTTGCGTTTATAGGTTCCCTCAAACATTGTATTATCTATAAGTAATTCATTATAATATAGTTATGAGGATCTTGTGACAAAAGTATGAAAAGAGAACCAGGTACACCTTTCGTAAAGAAAAAAGTAACGTATGCTTAAAAATTGTTCATGATTCCCAAGATATATGACAAAGTAGGCTATATCATCGTTTCATTATTTCACCACACATATACATAGTCCCTGTCTACGGGAAACACTTTGTCTCTTACTGCAAACATAATTATATCGGACAGTACATTACCATACGTGAAATTCCCTTCGTGAGAAGAATAATCCAGGAGCCACGCTGCTGAGATTGCTGCTGACATTGATCTTCCATAAAGCCAGTACGCCTGATTTATCCAAGGTTCGCTTCAAGACTCACGGTAGACATCTTTCTTTCGTCCGAGTTGGGTGCGTACTGCAACCAAACACACCAAGGTTCATGTCGATTACTTCCCACTTTGTCCACTGCTAGCGCCCGTGTATCTTTAAGTTGAAGTTACTTTGAACATACTGATCAAGAAATTCACACAGATATTTAGTAACAAAGAAATACTCTCAATTTTTTTACATGCCAACTGATTAATAAATGCAGAGAAAATAAAATTAATAATGTAATTTGAATATCCCATTCACACAGACAATAAAGAAGACTATACGTTCAATACCGACAGCAGTGCTCATACCGGATTTCCGAGGCACTAACATTTGTCCTAGACATTTTCCTTCTTTGGATAGCAAGGGCTTCGTCACCCTGCATTCAAGACCAGAAAGAAACCTGTTCTAGGAGAAGCCAGAACCACAGTGAACTTTCATTTCCTCCCCCTATTCCACATCCTTAAGGCTGACCTACGGAATAACTACCTAAATTCGTATAGACCCCTGATTTAAAGATTCTTCGACGAACACACTCAGTTCTAAGGAGCACTTTCTGGCTCGTGATGAGATAACAGTTAACAAAAGAGTTATTTATCACAACTAATTAACCATATCATTATCAAGAGAACTCACAGACCTACCGATGATTTTTTCGTAGGTTACATTTTCTTAAGAAACTGAAAATCATTGATAGTGTTTGTGATATGCTTTTTGGTTAATATACGACGTAATTTATCACAAGCGTTTGTTCATTCGAAATGGAAACATCACTCAAAAACGGAAAATGCAGTAAACATTTTGGATATATGTGTAGTATTATGTGACTTGATGTAATATATATTTCATACACATTCACAAAAAACTAGTGGTATTACAGAACGCCACAAACTGTCTCGCACTAGTTATTTTTCTCATCTGTCTGGTTAACTTTTCGATGTTGCCCCTTCCAATTCCTTGCTGCTAGCTATTGTTGCCTAGGCTTTGTTTTCATATTTTCTCCATTTTTCTCTCAATACTGGATTGGAAATGTAACCTAAGGAATGTTACAGAGAGGTAAAATCTTATCCTACATGCAAATTTTTGTTGAGAATTTTCGAATTATTTTTAAAAATCTTTTCTGAGAATGTACTATTTTGAGCTCGATTTTACCGAACATTTTCAACTGTTCGAGAAGCTATGTACAAGTACATGATGTAATTAAATAACTAATTATAAACAACAAAGTTTGTTTGAAGAAAAATACTCTCTTCATTAATGTCTTTGTTAAAGGGTTTTAAATATTTGAAATGTTTGCAAGTTTTGAAAATTCAATTCAACTAATTCAACAATTATACAATAAGGCTCTCGCAAAGCCAAATGACTAAAATGTATTCTATTGCTGTTCCAGAGCAGAAGCTCTATTCGTATCTAGCTGTGAAAGGCCGCTCCCGTCATTTGCGATGTCGGGGACACTGTGACGAGAGTCCCCGTCGCCGCAGCCGCCGTTGTGACCCGGGGGGGCGGGGGGCGGGGGGGGCATGTGTGACGTGGTCGGCGGCCGGACAAGCTGGGGCGCTCGGCCACGAGCAGCTGGAGAGGGGCGGGGACGAGAGAGCGCAGTCTGATCGAGACGGCGCCCGCAGACCCGGGCCCAAGTTTGAGGCGGTATTAGCATCCACGGACTCCGGGCTCTTATGGGATTAAAGTGCCCATCCCCATTACCCCGCAGCCGTCACGGGAGCTTAGCGACGGCCGCGGGCGATACGCCGCCCCCGCCCCCGCCCTCGCCATCGGCCATGTTCTCCGCGCCTGCACTGTGCCGCGCCTTCGATTGGACTTCGCAGACCTCAGCCGCGGGCGCTCGGGGCAGGCGGGGGCAGGGGGCGTGAGCGCGTGGGAGGGCGCAAGTGCAGGCGCCCTCGCCCCGCGGGCGAACGGCTGGCGGGCGCAGGCTGGCGGTGTTGATCTTGGCCCAAGTGCTCACATAGAGTTCTCAAAACGGACATTGTAGCTTCGAAAGTTATGGTATCCCCACTAATATAGAGCAGAAATACGATAACTCGGACACCGGTGTCTAGAACAACCGTACCTCGTGTCGCAGTAAATATCGAACCTTGATACCTTAAGCTTCAACAACTCTTACCTCGATTTGAATTATTAAAGTGAGCTACTTACGTTACCTTCCCATACATTTGAAACGCGCCATTTTTAATTTCATTATGTTGATACATTAGATCTGAATATGAAATATTCGATTTGAAATATTTCAATCTATTATTTTTCTTGAGCAGTTGTGATATTTCATGATATCAAGAAATTTATTCATTATTAATAAGAAAATAAATATCATTCTTTCTACTTTTCTTAATCAAACAACATTACTCATTCAAATTTCAAACGGAATTTCCGCAACTATTTCTTCTACGGCAGAAACGCGCCGGATACCAGCTAGTTTAATACAACTGTACTAATATTGAGTAGGTCATGTTCTGATGTAAAGGTATCTTGGTTATCACCACAACACCAGAACGTGATGTGTTGCGTATTAACACGACAACATACTCAAATTTATTTTCACAAAACTCTGCAATACAAAAAGGAATATTTCATCCGATGCTTCTTAATTTTCTACTCAGCATTTCCGTACGCAAAATACTTTCGTCGACATCGTAATCGCTATGATTTATTCGTGCCACCAAATCTTGGTCTGTGTATGGTATATTACAGATATTACATGGTATATATTACCTCAACAACCGTGCACAGAGTTTCGTGTGACAGGTGGGTAGCTGCATCAATGTGGTTTTATTATTTTGAAGACATATGTCTTCACCTTTAAACACTTTGTTTTGTCATTAGTTCTTGTTCGACGTTTCGCAACATACTTCCGAGAACGTTTCAATAGTTATTTATTCCTATTTTGTGTTATTCCTGTCATTACCCACCTCCGCATTAACTCTGCAGTACTCGCGTCCCATTTTATATAGTGCTCGCGCGGATTATATATGTAGTTAAAAAAATTATATTCTTTACGGTTATGATTTTTGTAAAAAGCATTGTGTTCAATAAAAATTTTGAGATAGAATGATATGTTTATTTGAATATTATGTGAAAGTCATTAAATTTTAACGCATGGTATTCAAATGTAACTTTGTCGCCTCCCGGATGATGAATGGGGTTAAACGACGTCTATTAACGAGCTAAGTATTTTATTTCTCCTTTTCTAATTCATCGTGATTCATTCAGCAGCCGTTACAATAGTACATAACATATCATATTATATTTTTGTACAATTCTGACAATAGTATATCGTTTTTTGGGTTTCCTGAATGGCAAACTTATATCATATATTACAGTAGTGCACGTGCGAGCTATAATTGTATCCCAACCACCTTTAAAACCATATGACAACGTGCATGCATTAAAAAGTTCGGGTGCAGTCTTGATGGGAAGAGTGACATGTTATCTGAAGCTACTGATCCTTTCACCACTCCAAAGCCAGCAACTGCTGTGCGCCGGCAAACATAAAAGGGCTAGACTACACCTGTAGCCACTGGAGTACTCGAATGTTAAACACACTTAAGAAAATGACGTAATAATACTCCCTTTCCTCATAATTTTGCATGATGGATGTGTCAGAACTACAGAACGAAATATATGCCAATGTTAGGAGTTCCTTAATCGCACATTAGCCACACGATGCAAATAACGTATGAATGTCTACGAATAGGACATTTTCGGTCTTGATCTGGCTAATAATCATGTTGGTATTAGTCACCGGCGCTGACTAAAGTTTAGTGACAGTATTTTTCTATAAAATTGTAAATTATGCGTTGTACAAACTCACGGTTTATTACCAAAATCGCAATGTCCAAAGGCCAAAGCCTCATCAATAACTTGGGAATGATTGTATAAGCGTGAAATGAGATTTAGTGAGGTTAGATGTTAGATTTGGTGGTAATCAGTAAATATATACATACGACGGTCACCGAAGATAATGAAACCCTAAATCTTGCCTCTCAGTAGCCTTAGAAACGTCCTACCAGCAGAATTATGATAAAATATCATATAAAATCAGCTATTACTCGCCACCGTAACATACTTAACTTACCATGGTCATCTTGTGATAGCTAATATGCCCTTTATGCTACTTAAGATCGGCGTATGCTTGGAAGCTGTCCCTATTTCAAACTTTATTCATCCTATACCATTTTGGATGATGCGAACGTTCACCGGTTACTTTAAGAATTAGTCATGTGTAGGGATAGGATAGTTATGTAATAACAACTTTTTTCTTTTATAGTATATGTTTTTACATATTTTGGGAGTAGTTACAATTGCATAATATTTAGTGCATGTTGTTAGATTGACACATATTTTGCTATTTTCACAAGAAAATGTTTAAAAAATGTAATTAATAATTATATTGATGTAGTTACAAATTTTTACTAGTAATAACATTAATAATAATAATAATAATAATAATAATAATAATAATAATAATAATAATAATACTAACAGTAAATAAGACGCTACTAACAATAGTTACTTTTCATTAGGAACTGATTTAAATTTTTGTAAGATATTGAAACTTTCCCGAGATGAAAGGCCTCTTCAAACAGACTGATCGGCGAGACCTCGACGGCGCGGGGAACTAGTGCAAATGTACGTTCCTCCCAGTGCGCCACGAAGGGCGGTCAGTAGGGTCCGACAGAAGGAGAGTGTACTGTTCGAAACTAACTGTAACATCTGCATTTCAGTTCAGCTTTGAGTGTGGACGTGGACTGCTCAGGTGATATATTTCGATCGCGAAACGAATTCGACGTACCTTGGTTCGTAGGTACTATTGTGGTTAAAGAACTCGCTGGCTTTTTCGCAAAATGTCACCAGTGAAAAGAACATTATCTACTCAACTCAGTTCGCACGTGCGTGAAAATGAATGCGTACTAACTACTGACGACATTGTGTTATTTTGTGTAGCGCGTTAAAAAAGTGTAAGTGCAGATACTCGTTTCCAAGTGACACAATATTTAGAAACAGCAAAACACGTAAAACATGTTTTACTAAAAAGGTGGTAAAGTTGATGGTTAAAACAAATACTCCAAAGGACACAACTAGTTCAACTTCGGGCCTCTTGTTGCCGGAATTAAATCACCAATCGCTAAGAGGCATGTTATTCCCTTAAATTAATTTCTTGATTAGGTTTATTTTATAAAAAATGATCATTTA